TTAGAAAGGTCTTCTTTAGGCCTGTGAATGAACCCCAGGATCCATGCTTTTCGCCTCCCAGGTTGTCCTGAAAAGACCAAGAGAATCACATTTACACCTCCTTGTCTCTAGCTCCAAGTTTTTAACCAATTGTAAAAACTCTGAGAAAGTTGCCAGATGTTTTGTCCTTTACACAGGAGGACCTGAGATTACTGTGTGCTGATGTCCACTGCGGAGAAGGATGCCTCTTGCTTCTGAAGCTCTGCCCCTGCTCTTCAGAACCCCTAATCCTCACTAGGCAGAGTTTCCACATGGACCAGAGGAATCCAGCTTCTGTTCCTCTATGGTCATCAGAGACGAAGGTGGTGGTAAATGGATGCAGTGACGTCACACCTTCTAGAGCTTTCAGTGATACAAACAGCCAGCTGACGCATGTGTGCCCTAGGGTCCCCACTGCTGGTCAGAATAGCATGTTGTGGCTGTAGGTGCCAGGCTCATTCTCGACTTTGGAAAGTGTTTGCCCAGAGTTTCTTCAAACTGTGTGACCTCGGTACTCTTTAACAGTAGACCTGAGACATACCCACCTTTCTTAAGTCTCAAGTGCGAATTCCAGCTCTCTCATGCTTCAGCTTCCAACTGACTGACCCTGAGCCAGTCATTTAAGGCCTGGGATTTTATTTCTTTTGCATACAAAAAGAGTGAGGGTAGTTGTGTGTGCATTTATTGGCTGTCCTACATCAGAAACAGCATGTGTAATTTGCATATGTGATTTAACAAATTGTAAGCTACACATCTGCCCCATCAACTCTGTGAACCCTCCCATCTCTGGCTTCTTGATTTAAATCTTGACCTTGCACGGTTTGAGGAACTGTTCCGTCCTGTCACTCCTCAATGTTTGCTGTAGTGGAAGAGCAGAGAGGAGATGCTGTTGATTGTTTGCTAAGCCCCCAGTAAAGTACTTGCTGGGTGCTTACCATGTGCTGGGCCCTGCTTCTCTTCTCTTCTCTTCTCTTCTCTTCTCTTCTCTTCTCTTCTCT